TGGAGGAATCTGCCGATAGTAAAGGCAAGCGTATGTACAAACGCGCGCGCGATTCAGAGATGAGGACCTTGCTGTTATTGTTAGGGTCAACGTAAACGCCGCGCGTGGTAACGCGGAGACGAGCTCTGTGCGCGTATTGTATGAAGTGATAAAGGCGTCCTCACTACAGCCGTACGTATTGCGTAATCGCGGGGACGCGGCCGAGTCTCTGAATTATTATTTCCTATCGCGGTCCGATAAGCGCGGTCTTGGCGCGATTTAGCGGACGAAACCTCCTCCTCTCACCCCTTTCGCAATTGCCCTCTGTCGTTTGTCTCTCGATCTTGGATTTCCTCGAATTGAACTCGACTTAAATTTGGTGCAGCTGATCTGGCGTAGGTCGATTCCATCTTATCTGAATTGATGCAGTTCGATATCTTTTTTGATGTGATTGATTACAAATTTATCTTTATTTAATTTAAGCCTCCCTCGCTTTTGTTTTGATTTGATATTACGCTTATTCGATACGAGCTGATTGTGTTTTAATTGAAATTAATTTAACTTAATTATGTCTCGTGCTTTTAATTAAAAATTCGATGCGTTTCTTTCATTGTATTAAATGCATAAGATAATGAATTTTTAATGTGTACATTTTGCATGACAAAATTTTACTTCATTAAAAGTAATATATAATCTTGATCTTTAATTTAATCTGATTTTATTTCATTCGAGAGTGAAGCATAAAATTAATTCATGGAATTATTTAATAAATAAGATTTCGATCGTTATCCGCAAATCGTTGACCGCATTGAAAATCGTGTTTGGTACGTCACGAATTTCCGAGTAAACTGATTTTATGTCGCGCAAACCGATTCGCGAGAATCGTTGCGAAAATGAAAAGGAAAATGGCCTTCGGCTGAACGCGTGAATTCCCCTTAGAATACCCAGAACGATTATATGCTAAATACGTTCCGTTAATCATCGCAAATACATCGACGCGGTGCACAATACACCGTACCGAGAGAAACACCGAGCGAGGGGGAAAAAAAAAGAAACGTGTTACGACGACGAAACGCGAGAGGCCACGGTCGCGTCGTGTCGCGTCGCCGTCGGTTACACGTCGAGATTACGTGACGTAAGGACGCAAGTCCGCCGTCCGCCCGATCGGCCTTCCGGCGCGCGACAACGGTGACGACGACGCGCGGGCCGCTGCGCGGCGCGGCGAGCGGGCGAACAGGCGCCGTGTACCGTTTGAATCTCTCCGTGGCGGCGATTGGCCGGGGCGCGCGACGCGCGCCAATCGCCGCCGCGCTCGCCCCGTGACGTCACGGCGCGGTATAAGAGACGGCCACGCATCGTTCGCCGATTCAGATGCGCGCTGTTGGTTTGCGAGCGATGAACGGACGGAGGTAGTCGCGGAGTTCCACGTTCTCGCTGCGGCTGCGGCCTTTCGGCAGTGAGAGACGACGCCGCCCGTGCGCCGTTCCCTCGAATTCGCGACCCACGTCCGCGATAATAGGAGAGATAATATAAGGGGAGAGAGAGAGAGAGAGACAGAGAAAAAGGAAATCCTTCCGAATCGTCCAAGTGCCAAGGATTCACGAAGCTAGTCAGTGCGAGTATCGCGCAAGTGTAAATGGTGATGTCCTAGCTGCGAGTTTGACGGAAGGTCGACAAAGAGATCGCGTTGGTGGTGCGTCAAATACAGCCGTATTCACAGAGCGAGGCGGAAATAGGAAATAGTGCGACGGAGACGGAGAGTAACCTAGAAGGAAGGCCGATGTGCTCGTAAAACTCGCGATTGTGAGAAAAAGAAACGCGGAAAGAGACTTTGAGGGTAAAGACACACAAATGCGAGAATATCGAAGAGGAAGAACGTCGCGAAGTGTTCCTGAACTCGCGATTCAATCGGGTAACAATCACGTTGAAGAGAGAGGGAGAGATCGTTTCTCGACGCGGAGGAGAAGACAGCTGATTCGACAACAGCTCCGCGCGCCCGTATAACGTAAAAGCGTGAGAGAGAGAGAGACAGACTGAGGAGAGGAAAGCACCCACGTTCATTTCTTTCCCTCGTACTTCAAGAATTCCCGAGTCGCTCGAGGGAAATCCGGAGCGTTGTCGCCGCGACAGGTCCGGAATCCTTGACAATTCGAATGGAACGTACGTCGCCGCACGCCACACAACCGTGTCGACTTGCGTAACTTCGAGAGCTCGCGGGGAATTTCAGAGCTCGAAAAAAATCGCGCTTCGAAAGCTCTCGTTTTCGAGAACCCTGTGGGTGTCTCAGAGAGAGAGAGAGAGAGAGAGGACACCTGTAAATCCGCGCATTCCGGATCGAGATCCTAGATCTCGGATCTCCTCGCCGGATTTCGGAGGTTCGTTAAACTTTTTTTTTTTTTTTTTTACCTTCTCCGAGCCTCGGCGCCAACTCACGCGGTACCCTGGAGAACTCAAAGAGTTCCGTCGCCAACGAGCTTCCGGGTTCCAGGAACGCGGTCGCGAAAACGGGCAAACTCGCGAGGCTGTACCAAAAGTGCAGGAAGATGGTCGGGAGCAACGGTACCATGATCGCGATTCGCCTTGTCCGCAGCAAGCTGCGGAAGCGCGAGGACCATCATTCGAGCGCGGGCGCGGTGCACCCGGAGGCGACGGTGGTGCAGACGACGACGACGTCGCTCGCGACGATTGGGGCGCCGATGACGACGACGCATCCGGACGGCTGCTGCACGCAGATGTCCACGACCACCATGTCGACCGACTTCGACAACAGCGTTTGCGACGAGCATGTATTCGCCGCGACGACGGTGACGCCGTCCGCCAATCCGGTCGATCCGTTCGCGTGGCAATTCCCGCCCCCGTACCCGCCCCCCCACATGCCGCCGGCGCAGTACGCGTTGTACAACGATCAGGTTGGTGCACACCTTGTATGTACGTTTTGTATTTTTTTTTTTATATACTGGGCATACTCTGGCGCGCGCTCGACGGTTCTCAACTTTTGTTTCTGGTCAATGATTGAAGAACCGCGAGTGTCTCGCCGGAAGACGGGGAAGACAGAGAGTTTCTCGGAGCATTCGTGCATTTAAAGATTAGAACGATTTAAATGTTTTCTTAAAATTTTCAATGGCAATATTTGTATGGATATCTTCTGAGAGAACGTAAAGAACGTTGGAAATTGTCTATTGTATTGTAGTGCAAAGTATGAGTGGCGTACATTTCTTCTATTCTAGATATTTCAGTATCTAATTTATTATATTCAGAATCTTCTCAATTTTTAATCAGTCTTGCATACAATTCGTTGTAATCAAAATTATTTTTATAGACGTTACCGTGCAGAAGAAGCAGAATGAGAACCGGAAGCGCCAGTTTTTTTTAAAACATTAATCGTTCATATACGAGTTTAAAGTCTGATGTCATAATTCTTACATATAGTATAATTCCGTATAAATTCTTAACCCAGGTCAAGTCTCTTGATTTAAAGCAGATGTACAAAAATAATCCCTATAAACAATAATAATAAGTGAAACAAGACTGTTGATGATATACAATTAATTAAAAAGAAAGAGACCATTTACGATCAGGATCAGCATCCTAATAATAATAATAATAATAATGTGTGAATTTTGCATACTTTTTCCAAACTCAGTAAACTCCATGCCGATCTTCAATCCCTATAATACATTTGGTAGTTATTGAAGTTATATGTTTTAATCTTGACATATCTTAACAAAACTATCGTAGAATTGATTGTACGCGAATGTAACAGATGCAAAAGTAAAAGATTGTTTCACGTCAAAATTATTTCAATAGATTTTTCGTACGCTTCTGTCCGCGATGACGGTAATACGGAAGGGAATTTCTTCCGATGCTTTTTTTCGAGTCACCTTGCCCGATAAAAACGCGATTAGCTCAAGTCAATGGCATAAACTTTACTCTTAATCGCTCCCCGGGATCTATCGGTCGATCTAACCGTCGCAAACGGCTAACCGACTAACCGGTGGAGCCAGTATTACTAGATTTTACTGGTTTGCCCCTGCTGCGCTGTCCAACGACTCGAGGACACGCGGTATATCGACCTGACCTGAGGCACCCGAAAAAAGATTTCGCGGGCGTAGAAAGCGGTGAGCGCAGCCGCGCTATTTCGCAGGGGGTGATTTTCTTGTGGCAAAAATGCGCGCGATAACGAGCCTTGTGGCTCACTTTCCCCCTTTCTTCCTCGATGATAACGTACTAGCTTTATTCACAAGTCAATTTTGATTCTCGCTATATTGAAGATTTAATTACGATTAAATTTAAACGAAATCAAAATTAATTGAAAAATAAAACTTACGATATTTCAGGACTTCCGTATCGTATCAAAACAAATTCAAATCTCGATGTTCTTCCTCTCTCTAAAATCGCACAGTTTTATTTAAAATTTGAAATTTGGTTTCTGCAATTCCGTGGGTTCGGTCGAAAAGAAATTTGCTGAAAAGAAGAATTGACAAACTCATAAGCAGTTTGATTTCCGTCTTTTCCGATACACCCCTCCGTAATAGGTACTCGCGGAAAAAATATAAGAAGCCCGTTCGTCAATCGATAGTCGGGACAGTGACCCGCGGCCATCGCGGTTTCGCGCTACTTCGCGGAGACGATCGATTATTCCCGCCGTTCGAACGGCGATCGCTGATTGGCTGCAGCTGCGATGCGCCTTTTACCGCCCTAACCTAACGTGGAGAAGTAGATTCGATCGCGAAGAATAAAACGACATTGTCTTTTTTTTTATAATTCGTTCGACTCCGTCGATGTGATTAAAATAAATATATTATATAAAAAAAATGGCGGACGAATTGGAGATTTTTTTTATTAAGAATTTTGTCCTCATCAGAATAGGTCGCGGTGTAACTTATTGATCTTGCGAGGGGGAAAGCTCGTGGGGTTGGTAATTAACTTCTTTATTTAGAAGAAGGAAATTAGAAGGACAGCTTTATATATAGATCCCTCGAAATAGCTGTCGCTTTTAATAAAACGTTGTGCCGATTATATTCGACAGATTCGAATCAGTCGCGCGATTTTTTTATAGTTCCCCCTGTGAAATCGCCACTGAATTAAATGTTGATTGATATATTTCTATTATTATTAGCACGACGCGCCAAATGGGAAATTAAAAATTATTAACAATACGTTCGCGTTTAATTGGTAGATAAATTTTATAACGATGAATCATAAATTTTTGTAACGGCGTCACGGCGACGTCGATTAAGTTTATGCCGTAGTTAAGCGATAAAATTATCACGTGAGATATAATAAAGCCAGAACGTATATAAATACACCGGCGAAATGGGTGCAGCTCCTCGATGCTTCTCCGGCCTGGCGCTAAATTTAGCGTCGCCGGTGGGCGTCTACCTACCGCCGCTTACCAGCCGGGGCCCCTGAATAGGGTGCAGCTGTCGGGCCGCTCACGAAATACCGTTCCTCCGTCTGCGAGATTGGCAGGACGTTGGAGTCGTCGCGATTCTAGCCAACAATGCGAATCCGTCGCGAGCAAACTTAAGCGGCAAAGCTCTTGTATATAATTTATGAAATAAAATGTATTATTTATCGGATATTCGCGATTTAAGCTGCGGGCGAAGGCGAAAGAAGAATCACTGATGGCAAATCGCTATTAGCGATTCTTTCAGAGGCGCGAATTAGTACCTAACGAAATTCTCGGTCAACTTTGAATGGAGAGTAGTTTGCATTCGGATAGAATCTCTCAATGTATGATATATTCAGTATATTCAGTGTATTAATATATATATTCAATATATTCAAATATATTCAATATATTCAATATTGAAGATTCAGAGAAATGCGGCGTTTATATCTCACTATCAATGAGAAATGATTCCCGTTTTTTAATTTGTTATTTTATCACGTTTATTTTCGTAGACTTTGAACGTACGATATGAATAATACGAAAGTACGATGTTTAAGACACTTCAGATCTTAACGAAGAAAATACACCTTCTTATTTTCTAATTCGTCATTTCATCACGTTTATTTTCGTAGACTTTGAACGTACAATAAGAATAATACAGATATACTTTTGTATATCCCGCATAACGTAACTCGATTCATTTCATGTGGATTAATGGCGTGAATATATAATACGGGATCTCTCTGATGTTGCAGGATACCCTTGTACACGGTTTGCCGTCGGACCGGCCTGGGTTTGCGAAGGGCTTCCGCAAGAACCTCGGTGGACGCTGGCGTCGGTTGGTGAAGCGGAAAGCGGAGACGGATACCTGTGCCATTCCCCCCGAGTTGAAGGATCAACTGAAGACTATCTACGTCTATTGACGGCCAGAAGCTGTCTCTCCTGAAAGCCTGAAAGCCCCGAAGAGAAACCTATCGATAAAGGATCGATACAAAAAACGCGAGGAGCATTGGTGAAAGCAAGAAGAGGCTCTAGTCAAGAAATCGAGGAAAACGTGAAAGAGATTGTAGTGAAAAGAGGAATTAGGCAAGACGTAAGGAAAGCTAACACAAAGAGACGAGTGATAGAAAACGCAAAAAGACCTGACAGTGATATATTAGGTGGAGATGGAAAGAAGAATTTGGAAAGCATGTAAGGACACCGAAATCTAAAGAGACGGAAAAGAAAGTTCGGGGAAGGAACGGCGCAGGTACGGGAACCGAGATCCGGCCAATAGTCGACATATCAGAAAGTGTGCCTGAAGAGGAATGCAACGAAGTGCCTTCTTTTATTCCACAAGCGCCTTCTCATGAGACTGATACCGCGAAGATATACCGCGATATGCATGGGTGCGACAAAGCGAGTTACCTCGTAGCTTCTGCGTATATGTTTTTTTGCGCGATTAATTAATAGTCGACAGATCGCCGTACTTCGGGTAGTTAATTAGTATTAGCGCGTCGGCTGGACTTGCGGAAGGTACGCGAGAGCGGCGGGCGATCGGACGATCGTTTTCGGGCAAAATTCGGGATTCCTCGAAAATTCGATTCCTGCTTTTTAGTCAGTTCCAATCGAACCTCGAATTTGCAGCCTCGGCGAATCGGTAGTCGCGATCTCGATGGGAAATTTAACTATAAAACTTAGAGTTATTATTTATTATGAGAGAAAAACAGCGTATTATACACACATTTTTCCTATTAAAGTGCAAACTAGTCGTATGCCGAATGGGAAGGCTTGCAGCTGCTTGTAGTGTCATCGTGCGTCGTGGCTCTTCGCTCTTCGGCGAGGCAGCACAACGGAATCGGCGACAGTCCGTATTGTCCAGCTATAAGTACATAAAGCATCGTTCGAAGCTAAAGTAGATCAGATATATAATTTGAGAAGGTTCTCTTTGAATACGATTTCGTATTTAAAGTGAACCTTCCGAACGGAACAAGCTTGATCCACTTTGGCTTTATACACATTGTATGCGCATATGAATTTCTTCTCGGGCAGCTGACTCCCGGTTCATCTTAATACGAATGAAGTCGATCGCCCGCTATCTCGCTCCCGTGATTGGTTTCGAGGCCGCCGACGTTAAAGTGTGTAAATAAGATGTAACGATCTCTCTGGACAAAGGTCCGTGGGACGTACGGTTTAATCAACGAATGAACTTTGGTGTTCCTAAAAATCCTCAGGGGTCTGAAGGAGGGATTCTAGGATTTTTGAGAATCTGCAGGGTCCTCCCGCCGTCAGAAACGGAATGCGGCGCCTCGAAAGAATAAGATAGGCCAATTTAAAATTATCGAACTACTACGACGGCTCATATTGAGTCCGCTTTATTGTAACGCTGACGTGATATTTCAACTTGTGCGCTTGCGTTAACCCTTTTAACTGTTCTTCGAGGTGTTTATTCGACGAATCAAGTATTGTGAAGTATTACGACGTGCTACAAAAAGTCATCGCATTCTTAAAGGAAATCTTGAAAGCTATTTGCGTTACTAAATTATTTAACTCAATATTTACGTATTTAATCGCATGGTAATTTTTAATATTTTAATACAGTAATTTAAAAATTATTAAATATTTTTGAGAGTTATTGGAATAAATTTTAGTATTTTTTACTAGCAAACAATGAGAATTGTTCATTTTATCAAGTGATTTCATTTAAACATTATACTTGATGGCTTAATTTGCGGTTAAAGGGTTGAGCGGCGTAGCGACGCCATGAAAGGAGCTTCTCGCGTCAGTGATTAATTAGTTTAAAGAAATCGACGGATGACATTCGGTCATTCGGTTGGAAAAGTGCTGTGGATTTGGTTGAAGTTAGAGGACATGTTTAAACATGAAACTTTTATTTTTACCGAAAAAAAACGTAAAAAAATTGTGATTAAATCATTTCCAATATTTCCATTGCTCGAAATTTTATCAGATTATTGGAAATGATTCGTAAATGAATTGGATGAATTTAAAAATTATTTTTGCAACTTTAATAGCAACGATTTGTTGTTTTTTAATATTATTTTACACATAATAGATTATTTTTAATATTTTTATTATTAGCGCAGATATTTAGCGATTTCGCGCTATGTAAATCCCGCGTAAATTGTGCAGTACTTCACGAATGACCGAAAATCCAGAGGATCATGATCCTCGGTATAGTATTGTAGAATGTAAATAGGATAACGGGTGACCCGTCGATTTTTAGAGTTACTTTTAAGGGCGTAACCGGCAATATTTCTTGCAACGGATTTAACGAGATGTTTTATTGACTCGCGACTTCAATCCTTTGAATATCATATTCGGGAAAGAAAAGGAACAAAACAATTTACAATTTTTTATACGACAAAATACCCCATTCTACATGATGTATTATTACGTAAGTGATTTTATGACAATCCAATGACCAATTTGTCCAACGTTCCGAAACAAAAAAAAAAGATAAAATTTGACTTGTGCGGAGCTGGCGGATAATTGAGTTTATTAGTTTATCCGAATGTATATTGTGGTTCAAGTAGAAAATACACAACGCGTATTCAATTCAAATTCCGATGCTATCAATTGCCAATGATATCAATTGGAATAAAAGCGAGTATATCATGAGATGACGTTAGCATGAAATTGTATTACGTAAAAAAGTTCAAACTTAAATAAGATTTTATTATTTTTATTGCATTCGAATGCGAATTCAGGAGTGCCTTCGCGTAGAAGAGCATCGCACGAGATTAGTTGCAGCACCCTATGCCTGCGATAATGTAAAAAGAAAAAAAAACGCATTAACGGTCTCCGGCGCGCTTTACACTTAGCGATCAAATTTCTGTGTGGAAACATACTTTCTTGTTTACACGACTAATTGTATGGTTCAATTGCTTCGTGTAGAATAAAGGAGGGTAACAAAAAAAAAAGATCAATTATTCGCGTGTCACGAAGCTTGTCCTCGCAGATATATCGAGCATCGTAGACCCGATTGTAACAGTGTATAGCAAGCCGTTTCTGTTTCTCTATCTCCGTCTTTTTGTAAATAATAGGAAGTATCAGGACGGGAGGGGGTCGCGCTACCCCCCGTCACCTAGTCACTCGCTCGATTAATAATTTCGTTGAAATGGTGTAGCTGTAACGACGAGAACCGACCGACGCAGCTTTCTCTCCCCAACAATAAAGACGTTAAATAAAGAGGCAAAAGAGATGTTACAAACGAAGGGATTGTTGACTTATTTAACCGCAGCGGAAATCCCCTATCCCGGGACTTATCCTTCCTCATATATTTCTACTCATGACACGCGCGTAGAACGAAGGTGAAAGAGATGCACGAGAAAATATTTGGGATATAGAAGTGATTTCATCTTATTTACTTTTTATCTTTTTATAATTTTTAGAACTGGAAAAAGATAAAAAGTTGAACCATTAAAGTTAATCCCCATTTCTACCAATGTATTATAGATATTATAACTTCAATCTTGATCTAACTCACTTCTTATCTTCTTCAAATTCTTAGAACTTAGAAAAAGATAAAAAGTATAAGTTAAACCGAGATTAAAGTTAATCTACGTATCTACCAATGTAGATTAACTTTAATCTCGGTTTAGCTTACTTTTTATCTTATTCTTATGAATGAGAACCCAGATAAAACTTAATAAAACCCAGATTAAACTTAATTTACCTTGATAGAAATTAATGGATATGAATCCGCTCAAAAAACTCATTTTTTTTAAATATACATAGAAATATATAAAATATATTATCCACCTTTATTTAATTGTAAATCATCAAAGAGCGCAATGACGATTGCGATGTAAAGTTAGGGTATAAAGTACACCACCCACGCGACAATTACGTAAAAATCACGCGAGCAACGTTAGATTAATAATCGATTAAGTTAATCGGAGTTTAGCCGAAGGTTACCCTCTAACATTTTGTAGACAGCGTTATACGGACACGCTGGACACGCTATAGTTGATTACCAAATAAAAAATGCATACTTAGGGTCCCGCCGCCGAGACCTTTTTGATTCAATAGTCAATCGATTTGTCCGAAAGTGCTTGTACATACATACATAATACATACACAAATAAAATATCAGTCGAGAGAGGGGGGAGAGGGTGAATCCATATAATAACAGGGCATTCGAATAGATTCCGGATTCCGGAATAGAGAATATTCGACGTAGTATATTAATTAAAGCTACGAATATAAATGTATAAAAGAGGACTGATAAGATTAATACTCGGGAAAAGTAAGTATATCAAATGCGCGATTAAAATTATTCCACATCTAAAATTAAGGTTAATTAACTCAAGCTAGACTAACCAAAGCTAAACTTGCATCGATAATAATTGCATCTTTATTTATTGCATCCTTATTGTTATACGCGTGTTTTAATTACAAATTTGTTTCTTACATTTACGACGAAGTGACTATAAGATAATTATATATAAAAAAACGCGTTGTATTGGAAGACTCGCGAGGATATGACTTCCTAACCTTAAAAAAACGCCACTTTTAACGGTCGATTAATCTTATCGGCGGTGCCAGTGACGATTTTTATTATTACACGCTTATTCTGCACACTAGAATACACACGTGGATAAAATTTCACTAAAATCAACGAGAAGCTGGGCACGCCGCTCCATCCCAGAGACAGCCGAATTTGTCGAAAACAGGATTTTGCAATGCTTATCCGTTACAAATTTTCTTCAGACTCACGTGAAAACAGAATCTGCTAACGGAATATGATGGCAGATTGACTGCAGACATCAAACAAATTCTGCCGATTCGTAATTATTTAAATGATTGACAGGTGACAGGTTCTCTGCTTGATTCCTACTGGCTGTTTGCACGCTCTGCTGTCAGATCATGTCAGCAGACTGCCGGCAGAACACGAACTTAATGCAGACGCGGTTGATAATCCGATCTGCCATAATATTCCGTTTAAATCTATTAGCAAATTGCCATCATATTGCTTATATTTTTTGTTTATGAAATATTTAGTCGAATTCCCTCAACTTACTATTCTCTAGGTCTCTCTGGAGTAAATTACGCTATAATTAGTATCTTACGCTTTGAATGATTTGTGTTCTAGCATCTTGACACTTCTACTGTCGTAGCGATCAATGTCCAACTGTTTAATTTCGTTAGACGGCTAAGCATCCGAATATAGTCTCTTCACCTAATGCATATTATCCATGTAATAAAAACAAATATGAACGTTAATTAAGCGAAAAACAATGGCACAGATTACAGTACGTTTCGTCAGCGAGACATGAGCATCAGTTGCGAAACACTGAACGGACCAGTAGAGAATTCGATCAGGGGAAAGCTGGAAGCTGCACTGAAACCCCTTCACTGCGACGTCATCAACGAGTCCTACATGCACAATGTTCCCAAGAACTCTGAGACGCACTTTAAGGTAGTGGTTGTCTCGGAGAAATTTGACAAGCAGCCGTTGATCAAGGCAAGTACCACCGATTTGCACACTCTCTACTTACTAAATTTTTGCTATAATTAGTTTGAAACCTATTGAACTTGAAAAATCACTTCAACTCAATTATAAGATAGAACATAACATAAGATATATGAAAGTAAAAATCACAAAGAAAATAATATCACAATTTGATGCAGATAAAATGATAGAAAAATAATTATTCTCATCTACGAGTCAAAATATTATTTAGAGATTAAAGACTAGATGTTATATATATTCGCGTAATCAAAATAAGGGGACACCTGAATGAATTATTAATTTAGCGACACCGAATGATAAACCAGTTGTTGCAAGCGGAACTGCAAGGAGGCGTACATGCTCTATCAATTGTAGTAAGTGATGGCTATTATTTATTAACTGATCTTTCGCTATTAGCGCGAGAGAATTATGCCCTTTAAAATGGGCTAGGTAAAAAAGTTTATATTATTTCTATGTTGTTATTTATATTATTGTTGTCTTCAAGGCGAAAACACCAGAGCAATGGGAAACAAGTAATACGGTGACTGCGAGTCCTGCTTGCAGAGGCGGTTTCGGAAAGTAATATCATGTGATAATTTAACGATTAATTATATAAGGGTAATAACTTAAGTAATTGCGTAAATAATTTATATAGTATAAGTGTCGCATAATAAACACATATTCCGCTGCGATTTACATAAATATTTTTTCTTTTATTAAGTGAGATCATTATGCATGAAACGTCCTCTGTACACCAAACAAAGTCAGATGATGAAACTTTTCAATTCGTAAAATCGGAACATAGAATATAACGAAGTCAAATTATTTATATCGTGATACAGATCAAACCAATAAAAAATTTAACAGTTCAGTACGTACCATACGGTAATTGAAATGTGATTTCATCAATCTTGACTTTAGGATTCTTTTTCTCATCTCAAAATACATTACCTGAATTATCTTCTCGACCGTTGTTACACTGAATCCATTGCAAGGTTTTGGTTCAACAATAAAGTGGTGCAAATTCGATATGAAAGAAGTGAGTTATAAATAATTGGTGAAATTCACTATTCTCCTCCTTATTGTTTCTCTGAACTTATTTTGCCATATACTAAAAATATGAGAACTTTTGGAGTGCGCACGCACATACGAATAAGTGCAAGTAAAAAATCTCATAATTTGCTTTTTTTTTTTCTTTAATTGGGCCACGTATTGTTGTGCCAATCCCTGCAATCGTAGCAATTGCATAATGTATAACTAAAACGACAAAAATAAAAAGATGCACTAATGTCATAATACGAATGTATCCAGTCTTAATTTTCCCTCGTTTTCGGTAAGATAAAGTATGTCCGCCATTGACTGCTCGGCTATCGCTTCCTCCGCCTTCTCATGCATCTGTAATAATTGTATAATGTCGTTAATATTAGCAAGAATTAACGATACTATAGAATTATAGAAAATCGTTATATCTTTGTAAAATTTAAAATTAGATAATTAAGGTAAGTAAGAGAGAGAATTGCACATATGCTGAATAATGTGAACGTAAAGTTTACTTTTCCTTTAGGTCAATATGAATTGGAAATTCTATATGTTTAGCCATGTCTTACTTATATAAAAAAAGGACCTCGATTTACGATTGTGAATTAGCATTATCGATTGTAAAGTAGCAGTAAGAAATGTGAGAAATGTTTACTTACACCTCTAAATGTAACGTCCATCGGAGAATGTTTAAAATTCGGCCCAAAATTCACGGACACCATCGCACTTTTATAAAGTGATATCCCTGGATAATAAGCGCCCTTGTTGATATCGATGAAGGCATCACCTTGGTTGATTCCGTTTTTGTAAAATACAATTTTGCTGCCCTCTAAAGGTCGCAGAGCTTTCAGGGCTTCCTGCACTTGGTCCTTCTCCTCGTAATATAAGTGGCTCTTGAACTTTACTAAAGGCTAATTCACAAATCGAAAAATACAAAATAATTTATAGATATATTTTATAAGAAGTTTATTTTTACATTACATGCAAGACATTTTAATAACAAAAGCATACGAAAAATATAACAACTTAATTATTTCAGAAATTATATATATTCTGAAATAATTAAGTTGTTATAATATTTTGCAATCTTAGTCTCAGTTTTCGAGACATTTTGGTGATTGAATAATTTTGAATACATATACATATATACATATACATATATACTCGTATATAATTTTGAGTACATATGTATACATATATACGAGTATATATGTATACATATGTACTCAAAATTATTTAATATAATTTAATCTATTCAAATGGCTTGCTGTACTCACTCTGTCTTTATAAGTATTCGGAATGTGCGATGCATCATGTGTGTCCGGAAGAATTATGAGGAAGCCCAAGGTATCACCCTCGCCGTAACTGTCATTATAATGCTTGCCGCGACTTTCGTGAAACCGTGTTCCTTTTCTGTTAAAAATTTATCAAAATTATTTTTTCCTTTTCTTGAAGGAAAGGTGATTCACAATCTCAAAGAAATACACATTTTTCTTATTACGTAAAAAGAAAAATAGAAGAGTTCTAATAAACATTAATATTTTCCAATAAATCGATTGCTGTGCATTTTATATATTTATCTGTCAGAGCAAGAGTGAAAAATAATGAATTTCTAATTAATAAGATTTTTTCAATTTACTATAGTATAATCATTATTGTCAAGAGACATGGCCAAGTGTACACGTGCCCGCGACCACGGGCAGCGAGACAGAGAGTGTATCTATACCTAAAGACCTAAATCATCGAGTTATACATATAATACCTGGATCTCCATGAGTAACCAAACTTGTCGTAGCCAAGCGGAGCTTGCAAGTTTGCATATTCCTGTCCCCATCCGAGTCTCGTCGCGGACCCCTCCGGCATCTCTTCAATCGTAGCTTCCCAGTACCAAGCACCCCTACTTACGTCTGTAACACGTTAACATATGTAATTAGATCATCTATACGAAACATCACCAATCGACTATAGCAGACGTTCTAGATGCATGAGATAAAAAAATAGAATGCAAACGTCATTAAAATAGGAATTAAAAACAATACAAAAAATACCAATGTGTATAATTTTCTTTTTCCCAGTAATACTGACAGCTACTATAACAATAGTATATTATTGCTATTACATTATTGAATATCAATATTTTCAAATTATCGGTAAATTATATGTATAATCGATATTAGAGAATATATTCCGATTATACGCTCGTATTTGACATCAAATATCTGTACAATTAAAGATTTTTAATATTGTAACTTTGTAAAAATACACATATATACACGATATCGATATGCAATTCTTAGCCAAATTCAATATTCACTCCCTGATGGCAGAAAAGGGCGCTACCGTTTAAGCAAATCGATAAAAAGATAGCGTTCTTACTGTGCGTGGCTCTGATCATACAATATCCCTTTTCTCCAGTGACCGCCAATCTGTCCTCAGACACTTTGAGCTGCGGCGCACGATCGTGCAACGCCAGCAAGACCGTACTCGGGCTAAGAGCACGATAGAGCCATCCGGGTATAGGTTTACCAGCCCAATCGCTACTTTCGTCGAATTCCTGAACACAAATTAAAGGTATTCAGGGAATTTAGAGAACACCGTTTGAAACGGACATTGTTCATTCAGATTTAGAATCTTAATCCCTTGATTGTAACACGTAGAAATTGCCTTTCAAAAATTTCCAATAAAAGAAAATGGAAATGCACTATAATTATGATCAAATTTACCTTTTGCATATTAATTAATATAAAATAATGTCAAACAACTAAAGTTTTTAATTCCAGATACTCGAAACTGTTTGCAGCCAAAAAATTAGGATTCTTAATCCTAATTACATCCATATTGCAAGAAAAGTTGATCTGCTGAGGAAAGGAAAGCAAAAATATATTGTTGCTTTTCTCCAACAGATTTCTTTATCGATTATCAAAAGCTTCGCTCAACGAAAGAGATTGATTTCATCTCGTCCATTTCGTTTTTAGCATGGATTTTCTTTTTAATCTCTGTACATGTATGATTTGTATAAAAGTGAGAACCGTTGATAAAAGTGAAATATACCTGTCGGAAAGGAGCATGAGGATCCGGCTCTGCCAAGATGTATCTGTAGCCGTCCTTGTTGAAGGGATGCTCGAGTGGATAACCATGAGCCGGCAGCTTCGGGGCGGTCATGTCGGATCCTCTGCCCTTCTTCCCGGAACCCGTGCCTGTAGCTTCGCCTGGGAGCTTCCGCTTGGCGTTACGACCTCGCAAGCCTCCGCTAAGCGGTACTGAACGTTCCATTACGATATTTTAATACGGTATCCGATTCTCGATTTGATTCTCAATATTTCTCGCCAACAATATCGCTTTTAATCCTCTCTTTCTCCCTTTTTTTTAGTCACTGTCTCTTCCTTTCGGCGTTTTCGAATTACGTTACAAAATCGATAATTAATTTTTTTCCTAAACGGACTGATTCATTCTCACAAAGATTAATTCCTTGTATAGATAACGATACATAAATGATATGGCTGACGATATCGAAAGTAACGTTGCGTTTATAACGAGGTGTCTCAGAACAAAGTTTATTGAGATGTCTACTCGATTTCTCCGTCATGATTCGAACTTGAGCAATTTCCTGATAGCGAGTTGGTGATTGCGTTTGTGATAAGATAAGAAGTGACAGATCTATATTTATGCAGCTATGACCACAAAACTCGTTCTATATATTATATCTGAAAAATTTGGAAAAAGTGAAAATTTGATTGGAAATTTAAAGAATTACATCTGTTTAATTTTTTTTGTAGGATCTAAATATTAAATAGAAATCGATTGTTTGTTCCGCCAATGATAATTAAACAAGAAAAGTTTATTACTTTCGACTACAATTGGCAATATGTACAAAGAAACGTTACGACGTTTCGACCATTCGGATTGGGTCCTTTTCAAGCATCTAGATAATAAAACAATTTGGTGTAAATATAATAGGAATTAAATCTGCACCATTTAATTGTTTAAAAAACGTAAAGAATTTATTGCGAAAAATATTACCTCAGACAGGAAACCGCGGAGCGACGACTAACGCGTGATTACATGTCGGAGTTCAAAAGCGTACTAATTGTTTTCCAGACGTACCCAAGTACTATAAGTTATTGCTATAAATTTGAACTCCGACATGTAATCACGCGTTAGTCGTCGCTCCGCGGTTATGTCGTGCTCCGTTTCTTGGCGGTGGCCACACTCCTCTTATGAAACGCATTCTCTGATGTGTCCGACTCATGCATGTAAAGTATCGCCGCTTTTCTTCGAAGTACATATATATAATCATTATTTTTCTGTTAACATTGATTATTGACTATTGTTCTTGATTATTGTTCTTCCAGCGATAATTTTATAACTATTTCGGGTAAAATCTTCGTAAATACAGATGTTCAGGTTCGTGACAAAGATCAATTTACTAGGTATCGATTTTATCATTTATTGACTATGTATCTTATCTCATCGACCTACACCAAATTGTTTTATTATCTAGATGCTTGAAAAGGACCCGATCCGAAGAGTCGAAACATCGTAACGTTTCTTTGTACATATTGCCAATTGTAGTCGAAAGTAATAAACTTTTCTTGTAAAATATTAAATAACGTGTGTGTGTGCGCGCTTATGTACACAAATATGCAAAGATTAAGATACGCCAGGCAATTCAAATTTTTGCACGCGCATTCTTTATTTTGAACGCGGAAGGGAGAAAGGAGGAATCAGCTTTTTATTTTTACAGATTTTTAATCTTTGGTATTAAAAAAACTTAGCTTGGCAGGTTTTAAACTAAAACTATAATAAATCTAACAAAGTCGATGCAAAATTGATAATAATTTAAAAATAATGAATACGTACCGACGTGCTGAATGCCCATCTCTGTCGCTCGGAGGTGACCATTCTTGATCATTGCTTCGTAATTCGGTTTAATTGACGTAAGTTCAGTGCTAGCCAATCCAAACAGCTGACCCTCAAGCGTACTCTCGTCCATCGTAAACAACGTCCCAATGTCTTTGATCAGTGCTCTGTGAATCTAGAAGAGATCAAATGTTTCAATCATGTTTGTCAAAGAAAAGGCAATATAATTACGGAATCGCTTAAAGTTCGCAATTCATCATTACAATCCTGTTGAATTACGGATGTCAAAAGTGAGATAGTTCGCGCAATGTTATATTGTCGCGTCTGTCGCATAATCCTATATGAATAAAGATTTAATTAGGTACCGTAGAATGCCAGGATTGAGTGGCTCTGCGAGGCATTGTGGTCATGCTCTCCCAATGACAATCGATGAACGGTATGATGTCCTTATCCTTGTGGAAAAGAGTCTTCAGCTCATTCTCCTTTTGGCACATCTGCAGCAGGTTCGCGATTGCTGTCACGCACATCTGAGGAAACGCTGGAAAGTCGCCAATAGAAGAATCATGATTAACGGACAGCTCGACGAATTTTATCGTATAAACCAATGTTATAGTCGATACTCACGTGCTTGGTTCTTCTTAAAGCTTTCCAATCCAGTTGGCGAACAGTTCTTACACACAAATATATAATTCATCATGAACGGTACCAATTTACCCAATTGATATCCTATGCAGGACTCGTGGAACCAGCGAGAGCAGCTAGCGCAAAGCAATTCCACAATGTTCAGATTTCTATCCTTGCCGCTGTAAGTACGTTCCGTGGTAAGTCACAGTATTGCAAAGCAGGAAGATATTACCAGCAAGATTTTATTATAGATAATCACCAATAACAATTGCCACTTTCATTGTTGTTACTTGATACGCTGGCCTTCTCCGTTGCTTCATCCTGCTTAGATTTTTGATTAATCTTGTCATCAGGCTTCAGTTTCTTTTCCTCAGCAGCCTCTGTCTGCTCCGGCTTGTCACTTGGACTTGAATTATTCATTTTTCATTAGTTTAACTAATTTAACGTAATCGTATAGGTTATAATAATTCTAATTCTACGGTCACATATAGTTATAGATTTTATTTCTTCAGATCTTGAGAAGTTGTTATAAATTCATCAATTTTTATAAATCCTTTAAATTTGAGCCCCCTAAGATCTACTTTTAATTTATATAAATTTGTAGAAGAACTTTTACAGTATTGTCTCGATTATTAACTGTTAAAAGAGTCCATGAGTTCTTGGAGTTTTAATTTCTCAGATTATATCTAAAATTTATAAGTTACCAATTTTTTTATACATACAAGCCTTTCATTTTCAAATTTTTGAATCACAAAAATTAATTCTTCTCTCAATTGTTTGTCAACAATTAAACCAAAAAACATAACCTCAACCTTACAACTACTCGGTACATTACGCATAAATGACAAATGCAAGCTGGATGTAAAATATATATATTATAAAGAAATATGTAACATGTGTTATATATTTATCAATGATAAGTATTCGCTACCTGTCACTTTTTTCTTCTGCCATCGTTTCGCAGATGACTTCACGTTGCACGAAACTCGCAATGCAATGCTCGCCTCGCGCAACGCAATCTCTTTTCTTTAAACCGCCATCATTTACCTGTTTGTCGATAAATTCGCGTCGATAAAAAAAATCTGTTTTACCATTATTCGCTAATGTCGCTAAAATAATTAAAGAGCGCTAACTCGTCAAGAAACATTATTTTTGAATTTTGTTTAAGTATATATGTATATCTAGCTTCTATCAGCATTGTAGGTAGCAAATCACGTGCTCAAACAGGTCTCACGCGCGCAGCAACAACAAGTCAAGCTAAGCGTGTCTTGATATGAGCCAATAACATACCGAATCCCTATATACATATACGTTTTATTTCAGTCATTTTATTACAATAAATTACTGTTGTTAATTAGTCAAAATAACATGTATATTAACGTTTCTTTTAACTAATAATATACGTCACTTTGATTTACTTTTCAATCTGATAAAGAACATTAATATAAAATAAGAAGCTTCCTTCGCCAGTAAATAAATACAAAACAAAAGTCGTTTTAGTTCGACCCAACTGGCCAAATAATTAATATATTTAAAATTCACAACGTTTCAACCGCAATTTCGGTCCTTCTCAAGTGATTCATCAAGCTATGCATCCTCAAAAACCGCGTACAGAATATCAATTACGTCGCTGACATCGTGCCCTAACCACATCATAATTATTTGGCCAGTTGGGTCGAACTAAAACAACTTTTGTTAACATTAATATATTACGAAATTTTGAAACGCTTGAAAATTTCCTTGCCACCTCTTGAATCAGACTTTTCTCTTTTTTTATTGTAATACTCGTTTGATTTAAATAAAACTTTGGGAAAAGTACCTGTGTCATAAAAGTGATATTTTGTGATAACTTTTCCATTGTTTCTTTCGCTATAAATACATAAACGGAACGCATTGCCAACTTTGCCTCTTGCACGTGCCAACAAGCCCCGGTCTCCCCTATATGTTGATGGTCAAAGCCCGAAACGCGGATAATCCTAAGATTGACCAATAAATTCTGCCGAAATGCCAAAAGCGTCTTGGTCAAAGTTTTGTAGTGATTTGCTCATATATGTGTATAAACAGTACACAAATAGGCGGGAAAGTTCCATAGGCGGAGCCCCTCTGCCGTAATTTTAGCAGAAATTTTACCCATCAAATATGGCGGCACTGATGGTACAATCCAGGAATTAAAAGGTAATATTGATAAATTAGAACGCGGAATAAATTTGACGCTCTTAGTGCACGATAAAAGATGTTATTAAGCAATTATTGGCGAGAAAAAGGGATAAGCTTCTCTCAGTTAAGACGCGAGCAATCATGTAAAGCGATAATAGCTAAATCCTAAGAGTTTTTCAGATTCCAAAATATATACGAAGTGTTCAGATTTGCATAATTGAACGTATGTAATATAAATTAATACATTTACTTTTGCAGATTATTGGAAGAAACTAATTGAAGAAAATTGGCTTAAGGATGATAATGACAGAATTGAATAACATTTCGAAGCAGTAGCTTCAAAATCGGAAGAAAACATTTGTTCTTTGCGCACACTTCAATGCATTTGTTATCGATTAACTAATTATACATCGTAATTATTAATTTATCGCTAATATGATACTAGAAATCATATGAATTTTAAAGTGCATGCCTGTCAATTTTCTTTATTATTAGTTACTCGTTGCGGGTCAAAATGCGCTTTTAATTCGCATTGTATGTATTGTATAATATCGAACGCGTATCCCGTGCTTACTATCGTCACGACGGTAAAGTCACTGAAATGACAACGTCAGTTATTAATAAAGATAAAATGTTACTCGTTGCAGGAACGAGTTAATTTTTTTATACGACAAGCATTAAAGTATCGCGTGCGATTTCTTTATCAGGAAAGATTTACCGCTGATTTTTATAAAGGTCTAAATAAAGGTGTTTATACAAGGCTGTACGTAAATTTTTTCTTCACCGCAGAAAGCAAATCGTTCTTCTTCTCTTTCGTCAAGTAAAAGATTCTTGCAGGAAGCGTAATACAGAAGAGTGTATGTAAGATTTATAAAAATTTTCCATATCCTTAAGTTATGTGAATAAGAAGAGAAACTCGGTAAGTGTAAGTTGTTAATATTTTTAATTGTATTTACTATTTTATGAAACTTTATACAGACGAAAGAGGACCCGCTTTTATCAGACATCGTTGCAATTGAATGTACTTTGGCTAAACTCGGCCTAAATTTTTTTAATGAAATTGATTTAAACTTTCAATTTCAACTAAAATTCCATCTTATAAAAATGGGTCAATCTGTAGAGGCCCTCCATCTGATTTCAATCAGCGGACCTCTTTTCTTTGAAAATGCTTTACTTTTATTTCTCTATTATCAATTAATTATTTTCTATACAATTTTACTAAAATAAACATGTAAAATCATAAAATACAATTTGATTTCTTATTTATTTATAATAATTTATGTAAAATTACATAATATAATAATATAATATAAATATAAAAATATTTGAAACACACACACACATATAAGATATTAAAATAGTTATTATTTAGGCTGTTCCGTTTTTGCTAAATATAATATTAGAGAGACTTTAAATAAACTAGAAATTTTTCTCAACAAATTATACATATTTAATTTGAAGTTCAAAACAGAATCTCCGGCAAACAGACTAACCTGTAGGCCCCCAACCATTTCCGCCGATTCCAATCAGCGCAGCGGTCCTCATATCCATGAATATAAACTTTGTGTTTTTGTTTTTTATTTTTTTATATAATTTATTCTATGCCAAAATGTAATACATATAAATCTAATACATAATAAATTAATAAAACAATACAAAATTACATAGCATTAGATAAAATTGTATACATATAACATATTTCATTAATTCCGGATTACACAAAAACGTTGGAAATGCGTATACGTTTACTAACACATCATCAATAATTTATATATATAATTCAACTAGCAATATAACTTAACAGTATATTGACGACATCTATTACGCGATATTCATTATCAATTACAAATTTAAAATTATGAAGCTTATAAAACATATGTATATAGTGTACGCGTTTCGATTTTGTGTAATGCAGATATATAGTCTTATTTTTGCATCCTTCCTGTGTTTTCGCATGAAATTTTGCACACAAATAGAGTATCATAGAAAGTATGTGCTCCTCTAATTTTCTTAAAATCCGTCGACTGGTATGGATTTTAAGAGGATTTTAATTTTTCACAAAAGTGTGTTTTACGCTGTAGCTTTCTCAATATTTGAGATATAGGTCTATTTTTATATCTATTACATTCTTCAGTCTTTTCTACCTTTATTT